GTATGCATATGATTTGCTACAAATTTCAATTACCATTTCCACAAGTCCACTGCATTTTTTTCCACTTATAAAATTTTTACTGCACTGTTAAATAGAAACAAAGGGTACAAACTTGAGTCACCTAAGCTAAGCCCCACTTAACCCTGAGCACAGAAGGGTGTGCCTACTACCCAAATCAAACAAATAAACTATTGTTACCACAGTTCTTGATAAAAGTCAGTTGTTCAGAGAATTTACATGAGTCATGAATATTAACTGCAACGTAAAAACAGTTTTTTTAAAAAAGGCCTCATATTTTTTCTTTATTCAAGAATTCCTCTGCTTGATAATTTAGTTGTGGTGACCACACATATTCTTGTTATAGTGCTGGCTGAGGGTCTTGTACTTTATGATGTTCACTAAAGATTTCACATGGGTCTTTCAAAGATAACACACACTGTGTTGTAGTGTAAGGGGTTGCAGGCAACAGAATAATCAGGATGACTATGCACATAAGTGTCACAAGAAGCCAAACTCATGTCTTGATGTTTTCATGGCCACTGCATTTGCCATGGAATAATACCTGACTCCCATCATTTTTATGGTAGATTTATAACAACTTCCAATCATATGAGTTATTTCTTTTAAGTAAAATGAGTTTTTAAAATATTTACCTCTCATCATTATAATATATTGCTGATCCATTAGAACTAAAAGAATTTCTGGGAGATTCTAAGACACTGCACTTAAAGAAATAACATTTCAGTTGGGAAAGGTTTTTGTGTACAAGTAGCCAGAAACCCTGTGTGACTCTAGTGACATGATCAAAGCCAAGGTTCGCATACAGTTTGGTGAGACCACACACACACACAAACACACTTGCTGAGAGGGGGAGGGAAAGAGAGGGAGGCTAGAAGAGAGAGACAGTGAAAAAAAAGAGAGAGTTCCCCATTACATAATTTAAAGATAAAAATTCAGCTATATGGTTAAACAATGCAAATTTTCAATAAGCCTACACAATAACACAGAGGCTCAACTAGCACTAACTATCACAGTAGATTCTCAGAGACTTTAGTAAGACCATTGTGAGATGCAACAATTATCACAGATTGGCTCTTATTGATCTCTATTTGCCTTTGTGTTTTGAAAAACAATATGAGGTAAATTGTCCCCACTAAGAGGGCAGCCTGGGGTGGTATGTGGGAATCTGGAGATGTTGGTAGAGGGAAGTAGACACTGGTGGTGGAATTGGTGTTGGAACATTTAATGCTTGAAACAACTAAATTATGAGCAACTTGACAAATCACAGTGTTATAAGAAAAAAAAAAGACCAATCCTTCACTGGTTGAAACTTCAGGTACTATACAATATTACCCATTAGTATGATCTAACACAGAAACTATGCATTTAAGGAGTACAATTTCCTACCATAAAGGCCATAAAAATTAATATGAGATTTTGAAATATAATAAAATTTTGTCTGCTGGAGTTGAAAATTCTCTGGTCAGACATCCCTGATGACTTTACATTGAATATGTGCTATTAAACCGTTTGCGTGTCAGTGCATGCTTTCCAGGTGAAACCTGACACTGTCACTGTCACTGTCCTCCTGTTGTTCATCAATTTGCTCGAGTGGGCCCAGTAACGTCTCCATTGGAGACTTTGTTGTTACTATGTTTGGCATATCGAATACATCACGTATAGCTTGCCAGGCTCTGCCGTGCGGGCAAGATACTCTCAGTAACTTGCTGGGCTCTCCGAGAAGGGTGGAGGAATCGAACTTTGGTTGCCCATGTTGGCTGCGTGCAAGGCAAATGCCCTACCGCTGTGCTATCGCTCCAGCCCAGGTAAAACCCACATTAGAATATTATTGAAAATGTGGATAGACTTTGGTTCTCCCAATTTTTTGGCTTAACTATACTCTTTTTTTCTTTTTACACTCAATTTTCCTAAAAAAGACAAGATAGTACCAGGTAGCACTATATACTTTTTTACTGAAAACCTCAGATAAATATCCTAGCTTCTCAATGGACTACTTTCTACACAAGTATAGGATCCTATACAGCTGTTATCATTTCTGACAGTCCATAGCAAGATTTTCCACTCCTTCAATATCAATCTTATTTTTGCATCAACATAGCCAACCACCTTTAACTTTCAGGTTTCTGAGTCTCCTTTCAGTACATGAATTTGGTGATTCTAAGCTTATTTAAAATATCAGTATCACAGTTGGGCTGATACAATGGTGAAATACACATATCAGACAATAAAGGAATCCTGCTGAAGTTGACTTAAAGACACTTTAATTCCACATTGGTAGAGTCCTCTAGAATGGGTGATTGGAAGAATTGATATCTTCACTTCATTATCACGCTACAATACAGAGGTAACTGCCTCTAAGGCTTTAAGTTCAAATAAAACTAATTCCAGAACCTTTTGTCTGGCAGCTAATACTATTCAGTATTTTCTTATTTCCATAGCATGTCAATTCTTGACAATTGCACCAACCCAGAATCTAGCATGATTCTCTACTAGATCATTGCTTGCCAGGGTTCATCTGAGAACGACTTTCTCTCACTGACTGATGTAGCCTTAAAGAAGTTTTGGGGAGGCGGTCACAGAGGAGCAGGCAGAGGTCAGGGGAGTAGGGAAACAGCGACATAGTTGCAAAATAATATTCTCGGATTTGCCCTTGAGTGGAACAAGCTTAACTCAGAGATGTTCCCACAGATTCCTGCATATGCATTTCCGGAAATAAATGATGAATCCAATACAGAGAAGAGAAGAAGCTGCAGCATGGTCTGCTGCTTCCGTTTCTTCTTTAACAAGGATGGAAACAAGAGCATTGAGGAGATCAAAGGACGATTTCAGTGGTGAAAACTAGGTTTTGCGCAGTAAAATGGTTCCAGTGTCTACTGACCCTATTTAGTCAAAAACACATGCCTCCAAACAAGACATACTTGGAACATCCTATCAGGTCCAGGCCAGTACCTTTCCTTCCTTCCTTTCTTCCCTGTTGTCATTACTGGGTGGGTCCCAAAGCTCCACCCCATTTACGGTATTTAAGTGCACTGCTTGAAGAAGGCAGCAAAAAAGTGTGACGAGCAGACTACAAAAACCCTGCGGGGAGATTCACCTAAAGACCAGCCCTAAGACCTCAGCCAGATGGGATCACAAGTCTGGGTGAGTAGCAATCAATATGGTGACAGGTGGAATGCGAAGGACACAGTATAATACCCAGGACTATATTAGCACTTGTTTTGTGTAATGTTTTGTAGGATAACATTGGTTTGCCTTTTCTCCCTGACCGCTGGGAGCTTGTTTTTGTTGATTGCCCCCCAACCTGTCAATTACCTTTGTCTCCTGATCAGACTCTGATTTGTAAATATTGTCTTTCTCTTCTTAACGTCCTTTTCATGGTTAGCTATTTCACAGCAATTCCTTTTTATATGGATACAGGAAGACAGTTAAAAAGACAAGACTGTGCTTTGGGTGTTAATTGACTCCAGATAATATTATGTCATGAACATCTGCTCTCTTGACTTAAGCCTCAGTTGCCCTTACTTCCTAAATCCCCAAAAGCAGGGTCCCAATGAGGGACTGGATGGACCCAGGACAAACGGTAAGCTCGCTACCCTGGCATCAAAATGGGCCTGGTGAAAGGGCCCTGATGCTTAACTATTGGTCAGGAACAAGTTCTGTGATGATCCAAAAGTAATAACTGGATTTGGACCCTGCTGAGGTTAGGAATGATGATCTGGCCTGAGAACTGTAGTCTGAGTTTGCGGTAAGATGTCCCCAGGAGAGTCACCCTATAGGCCTAAGGGTGTCTATTACTGTGTCTATACAGAATGGTAAATATTAGGAAGGAGAATTTAAGATGTTAATCAAGTTGCAGGTCTAAGGAGAGGAGAAACACACCATAAGGGCTGTTTTGCCCTTGTGGGCTGCAGGTGGTGGCGAAGATTGTGAAAAACATTTCGATCATGCTTCCTGTGGGGAGGTGTGGTTGGGGAGGTGTGGTGAGAGGATAAAAAAGAGCAGCTTTAGGGAGAAAGGGAGGATAGAATGGGATAGAAGGAGAAAGAGGAAAGACAGCAGAAAGACTGCAGAGAGAGAGAGAGAGGAAACGGATACAGCAGGAAGAAAGTATTTCATGGTTAGAGAGAGATAGAGAGAGATGGGATTGGAGAGAACTGGGAGAGATGAGAGACTGAATAACCGGCATCTAATAAGCAGCCAGCTGGGCCCTCGTTCTTCCCTTGTCCATCCAAGGCAACAGCTGTCCGGTATGGAGAAGCAGTTTGAGAGCACCGAACGTGGGAGGCGAGAGAGAGCCTCCCAGAGAGCCCACCAACATCTTTTCACACGTAATCTCTGTGTGGGGATTTACACAGCTCGAAAGTAGGGGTTTACACAATGTCTTAGTGTGAATGTCTAAATGTTAGCCTTTTTTTGTTTGACTTATGGAAAGTCCTTTCCTTGGATCCCACCCCAAAGAGTTGAAATCAGTCATTTCCCTTTCCCAAGAGAGTTTGTGTCATAGAGAACTTTCTCAGCTCAAGGGGTTCTAGTTCCAGGCAAAGCCCTTGGATTGGTATGGTTGGAGGCTAATTACAGTGCTAGGAGTAAAATCAGTGCCTTGAAAGTGGCAGTGAGCAGAGACAATGGAAACAAGGTTCCTTTTCTAAAGTGTAGGAATATTTTCTCATCCTCAGGAATGAATTCACACTTTGGAGTCTTCACTGACTACTAGTCCAGGAAGTTGCTGAGCTTCATTTCTCTTCAGATCTCTAAACATCTGTGACTGATTGATTGTGGTGAGTGGAGATCTGCTGGTCACCAACCCATGCACCTGAGGGTAGAGGTGTGGGATTTACCACAGATCACCCATCATTGAGAAGGAGGCATTAAGCACCCGTCACAGTTCTCAGTATATGACTTACTTCTGACAGAAGAGAGGCTAGAAGAACCACAGTTCTGAGAAAACCCACTTCGGCTCTGCCCTCCTACACCAGAGGATGGAGGTGTCTTCAGTCCTGAACACACTCCAGGAAGACCTCATCTGTCCTGTCTGCCTGAATTACCTGACTGACCCTGTCACCATCAACTGTGGGCACAATTTCTGTAATTCCTGCATCCGAGTATTATGGGAGAATCGACAGAACACATTCCTCTGCCCTGTCTGCCGATATCCACATGAGGAGAGGAATCACTTCCGTGCCAACCCTCAGATGGAAAGGCTGGTTGACCTGGTCAAGTGTCTCCACATCTCCAGGAATGAGGAGACAAGGCAGAAAGAAGCAAACATGTGTGGAAAGCATAACTTGGCACTGAAATTGTTCTGCGAAGATGATCAAGAGCTAGTGTGCGTCATATGCAGCTTTTCCGATGCCCACAAGAATCACAGTGTGAGGTCCATAGGGGAAGCTGCCTCATATCATAGGCAAAAGCTCTCCCTCTACATCCAAACCCTGAAGAAGCAGATAACAGAAAGTCAGATACTATTATTCACCCTAGAAAAATACCAACTAGAACTGAAAGAGCAGGTTGGAAAGCTTAAAAGTAGATTAACCTCTGATTTCGAATTCGTGCATCTGCTTGTAAAACGTGTGCAAATGGCAACCTACTCCAGATTGGAAGAAGAAGACAGTGATTTTCAACAGAAATTTAAAATCAATATTGCTGAAATTTCTGATCATATTTCCACCATGAAAAGTCTACGGAAGGAGTTGGCAGAAAAGTGTGTGATGTCCAAGGGGAATCTACTGAGAGTGGTCAAGAATATCAAGTATAGGTATAAAAACCTGGAGAGCCCATCTATATGGTCCGTCCAGTTCAAGAAGGAAGGCTACTCTCTTCCTCCACTGTACTCAGACCTACAAAACATCATTCACAAGTTCCAAGAAGAAGTGACTCTGGACCCCAAAACAGCACACCCCAGTCTGTGTGTGTCTGAAGATAGAAAGACTGTTAATTATGTGCAAAAACAATCACAAGATGATGGGGAAGTGAGGGAGCCTGACTATGCAGTGGTTCTGGGCTCTGAAGGATACAGTTCTGGCCGACATTACTGGGAGGTGCAGGTGGGTGACAAGACTGAGTGGGCTGTGGGGGTGTGCACAGATGCTCCTTTCCGCAAGGGGCAGCCCCCCCTGTCGGGTCATAATAGTTCTTGGACAATCCAGCTACAGGATGGCAACTACTTGGCTGGAGGCTCTGTACCTGTCCTTCTCTCTGTGAAGAACAAGCCCCAAAAGATTGGCATTTACCTGGACTATGAGTTGGGTCAGATTTCCTTTTATGATGCTAGGGACAGGTCTCACATCCATTCTTTAATTGAGACATTTTCTGGTGTATTAAAGCCTTATTTCTGGGTGGGCTGGCATTCTACCCCTCTTATACTGTGTGAAGTAGAGATTCTATAGAAACAACTCTGCTTTATTTTCATCCAATGACTTTTGAATAGTAAGTCATAAGTATTCATTGAATACTTACTTGAACAGTAAGTATTCATTGAATAGTAAGTATTCATCTATCAATGAATATATGTTTTCCAAAATACTTTCTTAATTTTAAACACATAGTTATTTTTTTCCTTTTGGCTTTTATTTTATATTTTATTATCTTTTTTAATATAGTTACTGACATTTGGGTACTTGACAGCTATGAGATAAACATTCTGACATATGACTGCAGTAACTACTGAAAACTGTGTGCAGGTTAGTGCCCCTGCCTTACTGACTAGTATGGTCGAAGAGGGCAGAAACCATTCCAATGCTGGTAGTTTAGAAGATGTGACAACCCATCTCTGGGAAGTGTCATCATAACCTGTGCACCTTTTTTGTTTTAAGCAGATCAGGAGGAAATCTTATAAAGAACTTTTTGTGAATAGGGGACCCTACCATGTACAGAGTTTGTCATTGGATGTTGTGCCTTGTTTGTATCTCATTGTGAACCCACAATGAACATATCACCCAACTTATGGTTCTCTGTCATTCTCTGTATATTTGATGTGTACTGATATAAATTTGTTGTGTGTACCTCGACTGTGTATGACTTCCATCTGCCCGCACAAAAATGAGTGACTTTTCAGGAAAATTCCTCACTAGGTTAAGGTGTTTATTTCATCCTAATTATATTGGGAATTCAGATTCTTCATATAAATTTGCTCTATGCTGTCAGACAAGCTCCTCAATTTGTACATTGCCATTTTTTTCCAATAAAGCCACACTTTCTATTACTCTTGTTGTTTTGGGATGAATAAAAATGTATTTTTGCATATTTCCTATGTTTGTATGAATTTCCACATATGGTAAGTGTATACAGTTTTTCTTTTTCATAACCATCTAAAGGGTTTCCAGTGGTAGAGAGAGGGGCTATTATAGAGGTACCCTCTCAATGAGTCTTTCATATTTCTCCAAGCATTGTTAGGGAAATATTGATTTGAATAGGGCTCCCATAATGGATTAAGTAAAAAGACATAAGAGAAAAAGTGTGGATGTAAGTGGGCTAATAGCTTCATAGACTATGAGGGGCCCCTTTATCCTAAACATTTAATATTTATTGCTTAGAACCAGTAATCATTATTAAAAAATGCATTCTTTGGTGAATTGTCTAGCACTCTTCTTTATCTGAGGTAAACTTTTATATATTCAAGGATCTTAGTATATTGGGACAAACATCTTTATAATGGTCTTATCTCAAGGAATGTTTCCTCTGGGAGAAAGAATGAAGATATAGCAGTTACAGGAGCCTCACATCAGTAGTTTTCCTCAAGGATGCCGAAGGCTTTCTGAATATCAGATTACTGTTATCTGCCCATTATGCCTTTCTCTTCATTCATATAATGGTTCATCCCTTGGATCCCAATAGAAAAGGCCTTGAATGATAAAAAAAAATGGTATATCCAGAAGAAAATATGGTTGGTTTTCTGTCTCCTTCCATAAAAAAGGTCAGGAAGATTCATTCTTTTTTATTTTTTATTTATTTTATTTATTTATTTATTTTGCTTTTTGGGTCACACCCGGAGATGCACAGGGGTTACTCCTGGCTCTACACTCAGGAATTACCCCTGGCAGTGCTCGGAGGACCATATGGGATGCTGGGAATTGAATCCAGGTGGGCCACGTACAAGGCAAACGCCCTACCCGCTGTGCTATCGCTCCAACCCCTCATTCCTTTTTTTTTTTTTTTTTTTTTCCCCTTTATTTTATTTTATTTTTTTTAAAGTTGTAGATTTACAATTTTTTGTGCTTTGGTTTCAATTATACAATGATCAGATACCCATCCCTCCACCAGTGCCCATTTTCCACCACCATGGATAATATCCCTCCCACCCCCATCCCCCCATCCCCCCGTCTCTGTGGCAGGGCAATCCCCTGTGTTCTCTCTCTCCTTTTGGGTGTTGTGGTCTGCAAAAGAGGCATTGAGTGGCAAACATATTCAGTCCATAGTCTACTTTCGACATGCATCTCCCCTCCTGGGAGGATCCTCCAAACATCCTTTATTTGGTGCTCCCTTCTCTATCTGAATAGCCCTTTCCTCTAGGATACCCGGCTGGCCTCTAAGTTATGGAGTAATCCTCCTGGTGCTGATCTCAGCTATTCTTGGGTATTAATCTCATACTTTGTTACTTTATATCCCCCAGATGAATGCAATCTTTCTATGTCTATCCCTCTCTTTCTGACTCATTTCGCTTAGCATGATACTTTCCATATTGTACCACTTGTATGTAAATTTCATGACTTCATCTTTTCTAAGAGCTACATAGTACTCCATTGTGTAGATGTACCAAAGTTTCTTTAACCAGTCATCTGTTCTTGGGCATTCAGGTTTCTTCCAGTTTCTGGCTATTGTAAAGAGTGCTGCAATGAACAAACAAGTGCAGATGTCACTTCGACTATACATTTTTGCCTCTCTGGGATATATTCCCAGGAGTGGTATTGCTGGGTCAAATGGGAGCTCAATTTCTAATTTTTTGAGAATCGTCCATACTGTTTTCCAGAAGGGCTGAACCAGTGGACATTCCCACCAACAGTGAAGGAGTGTCCCTTTCTCGCCACATCCACGCCAGCATCGGTTGCTTTTGTTCTTTTGAATGTGGGCCAGTCTCTGAGGTGTGAGATGGTATCTCATTGTGGTTTTGATCTGCATCTCCCTGATGATTAATGATGTAGAGCATTTTCTCATGTGCTTTTTTGCCATTCGGATTTCTTCTTTGAGAAAGTTTCTGTTCATTTCATTGCCCCATTTTTGGATGGGGTTGGATGTTTTCTTCTTGTGGAGTTTAACCAGTATTTTGTATATCCTGGATATCAACCCCTTGTCAGATGTGTATTCGGTGAATATCCTTTCCCATTCTGTAGACTGTCTTTGTATTTTGGTCACTGTTTCTTTGGAAGTGCAGAAGCTTCTTAGTTTAAGATAGTCCCATTTATCTATCTCTGTTTTCACTTGCTCGGCCAGTGGCGTGGCATCTTTGAAGATACCATTAGCTTCAATGTCATGGAGGGTTTTGCCAACTTTGTCTTCAATGTACCTTATGGTTTCTGGTCTGATGTTGAGGTCTTTAATCCATTTTGATCTTACTTTTGTACATGGTGTTAGGCAGAGTTCTGAGCCTATTTTTTTGCATGTAGCCGTCCAGTGATGCCAACACAATTTATTAAAGAGGCTTTCCTTACTCCACTTCACATTACTTGCACCTTTATCAAAGATTAGATGAGCATATGATTGAGGAGAAATGTCAGTGTATTCAACCCTGTTCCATTGGTCTGCAGTTCTGCCTTTGTTCCAGTACCATGCTGTTTTAATTATTACTGCTTTGTAGTACAGTTTGAAGTTCGGGAGGTTGATTCCTCCCATTTTCTTTTTCCCAAGAATAGCTTTAGCTATTCGTGGGGGCTTATTGTTCCATATAAATTTCAAGAGTGTTTGCTCCATTTCTTTGAAGAATGTCATGGGTATCCTTATAGGGATTGCATTGAATTTATACAATGCTTTTGGTAGTATTGCCATTTTGACAATGTTAAGTCTCCCGACCCATGAGCAGGGGATATCTTTCCATTTCCTCATGTCCTCTTTTATTTCCTGAAGTAGCGTTTTGTAGTTTTCTTTGTACAGGTCCTTTACTTCCTTAGTTAAGCTGATTCCTAGGTACTTGATTTTCTGGGGCACAATTGTGAATGGGATTGTTTTTTTCATGTTGCTTTCTTCTCTCTCACTGTTTGCGTATAGGAAAGCCATGGACTTTTGGGTATTGATTTTATAACCTGCAACTTTACTATACGAGTCTATTGTTTCTAAGAGTTTTTTGGTGGAAGTTATTGGGTTCTCTAAGTAGAGTATCATATCATCTGCGAATAGTGAGAGCTTGATTTCTTCCTTTCCTACCTGAATGCCCTTAATATCTTTTTCCTGCCTAATCGCTATTGCAAGTACTTCCAGTACTATATTGAAGAGCAGTGGAGAGAGTGGGCATCCCTGTCTCGTCCCTGATCTTAGAGGGAAGGCTCTCAGTTTTTCCCCATTGAGGATGATGCTTGCTGTAGGCTTGTGGTAGATGGCTTTAATTATGTTGAGGAAGGTCCCCTCTATACCCATTTTGGCTAGGGTTTTCATCATAAAGGGGTGCTGGATCTTATCAAATGCTTTCTCTGCATCTATTGATATGATCATATGCTTTTTATCTTTTCTTTTGTTGATATGGTGGATTATGTTGATTGATTTCCGAATGTTGAACCATCCTTGCATCCCTGGGATGAATCCTACTTGGTCATGGTGTATGATCTTTTTGATGAGTAGTTGGATTCTATTTGCTAGTAGTTTGTTGAGGATCTTTGCATCTGTGTTCATCAGGGATATCGGCCTGTAATTCTCTTTCTTTGTGGTATCTCTGTCTGCTTTTGGTATCAGTGTGATATTTGCTTCGTAGAAACTGTTTGGAAGTGTTTTTGATATTTCAATTTCGTGGAAAAGCTTAAAGAGTATTGGGAGTAAGTCCTCTTTAAAGATTTGGAAGAATTCACTAGTGAATCCATCCGGGCCAGGACTTTTGTGCTTGGGGAGACTTTTTATTACCATTTCAATTTCCTTGATGGTGATAGGTCTGTTCAGGTATTCCAGGTCTTCTTGGTTCAGCCTTGGGAGTCTGTAGGAGTCTAGGAATTTATCCATTTCCTCGAGGTTTTGATGTTCCGTGGCATAAAGCTTCTCAAAGTACTCCCTGAGGATCCTCTGAATTTCTGTGGTTTCTGTTGTAATGACCCCCTTTTCATTTCTGATTCGGTTTATTAGGGTTTTCTCTCTCCCTTTCTTTGTGAGTTTTGCTAGAGGCTTATCGATCTTGTTAATTTTCTCAAAGAACCAGCTCTTGGTTTCATTGATCTTTCGGATTGTTTTTTGGGTTTCCATCTCATTAATCTCT